CTTTGTTCTCCTATACCAGGTTGCCATCAGTAAGAGGCTGTCAGTTGTGCAGCTATAGTACTAATTTCCACAGAGCTAGGGCTTTTCAGTTCACAGAGCTTTAAATCCGGTGTAGTGGTACTTAATGTTCCTAATATGTTTGGCAAAGTCGTTTCACACCGGTCATAGGTTTGATGATACGTTGCATTTCAAGGTTAGGTGCTTTTTTAGGCAGTCCTCAGTGAAGAATAACTTCATCTGTACATGATGTTTCTCTGGAGAGAGCTTTAATGAAAATATAACCTGAGGAGAGATTAAAATTGAGCACTAACTAGAAATGACTACAGAAAATACTTAGCATTTGAAATAGACCTTAACAATATAGCATGTCTTTGTAAATATTGACCTTTCCTTATTAACCCCTTGTTAAGTACTCTGCTTTCGTTTTAGGCTTAAATTTGCTAGAATCATTTCTTACAATCCTTTTTTGTTGTCTTCTGACAATAGTTTTGCCATTCTTCCTGTGTCATACAGGGTATTTGATGAAGCCATCAATTGCACTGGAAGGGTACATCTGAATGCAGAAAAATATTAATACTTTTCTGAAAAAGTTCCTCCTTCAGACCTTTATTTTTTTTAAATACGCTTTAGATCACAATGGGTGTGAACAGATTCCTGCAGAGAAGTTAAACAACAACATCTGTTTATAGCTAAAATTGGGAGGTTTTGTGAAAACTAAGTATTAGACTGTATACTGGTAAAGTTGGTACTGTCTTGACCTGTAACTTGTTTCAACATTTAAATATGCCAGCTGTGTCTGGGGGGGCATCAGGCAAAGCGTCACCAGCCGGTCGAGGGAGGTGATTGTTCTGCTCTGCTCTGCCCTGTGGCAGCCTCACCTTGAATATTGTGTGCAGTTTTGGGCACCACAATATAAGAAAAGTATTCAGCTATTAGGGAGTGTCCAAAGGAGGGCAATGAAGATGGCGAAGAGCCTTGAGCAGAAGCCGTATGAGGAGCATCTGAAGTCACTTGGTCTGTTCAGCCTGGAGAAGAGGAGACTGAGGGGAGACCTCATTGCAGTCACAACTCCCTTGTGAGGGGAAGAGGAGGGACAGACGCTGATCTCTTTTCTGTGGTGACCAGTGACAGGACCTGGGGGAATGGCCTGAAGTTGTGTCAGGGGAGGTTTAGGTTGGATATTAGAAAAAGGTTCTTCCCCCAGAGAGTGATTGGGCACTGGAACAGGCTCCTCAGGAAGGTGGTCATAGCACCAAGGTTGACAGAGTTCAAGAAGTGTTTGGGCAATACTCTCAGGCACATGGTGTGACTCTTGGGGATGATCCTGTGCAGGTCTAAGAGCTGGACTTGATGATCGTTGTGGGTCCCTTCCAACTCAGCATATTGTATGGTTCTGTGAAAATACAAGTTTATTTTTTCCATCTTCTTGACACAGCTTACTCCAACAGTTAGTGGTGTCTAAGGCTCTTATGGTGACACAAGCCATATTTTCTTCATTGCCCTTCGTGAAAAGGAAGTCGCTCGGTAAAACTGTGAAGAAATTAAATGTACAAGTATCTCAGTGTTACTGAGACAGGCCCTTATTTTAATAAGATTGAGGAAGTTACGCATATTATGAGTAATAGTATCTACGTTTATGCTTCATAGGGTGAAATGATCTGAGCATTTTTAGTCCTTGGAGTTCAAGGCCAGAAGTGGTACCTAGTGTGTTCTGGAAGAAATGGTCTCTTTTGGTTTGAATTAATTTCATGCATTTCTTTTAAATGGTGTGGGAAAACAAGTTTCTTCTGAGGCTTTCTTTGTAAATCATTCAGTGTGAGACACTATTCTGTCTAAATTAATCCTCAGTCCGTTTTGGTATGATTCCTTCCACAAGTCAGCATCAGAGAGCTTAGGGGTCTTGTCTGTTAAATTGTTTAGTAATGGGATATTTCCTATTTATTTGAGGGGATAAAGTAGTGACCACCAAAACAAGGATGAGAATTCACAAAGTCCTCCTGTGGCCGTTGTACTCTTTTTTTTTTCCCCCCCTTCCCCTGAATTCCTGGAATTTTAGAGCAATTGCTTTGAGACTTCAGCAAAATGGGCCTCTCCCACTGTCCTGGGAAGTGGCCTAAGAGTTCAAACCGTATCAGGTTTAGATAGGCCTAAGTTCTAGATCACCCATGTCTAGACAAAGGTGCTATAAGACAGTGTGAAGCAATGGGGAGAAAGAAGTCTGCCACCTCTGATTGGTGCCTGTCTGAATAGATAAACCTTCCAAATCCTGGCTCAGGAAGACACTTATTCAGGCATAAACGTTAAGCTGTACTTAACTGTTTTATGCTGCCAAGCCCCCAGATTTTCTTTGCTCAGCACAGAGGAGTAGTGGATTCCTCTGTACTGACAATACTGAATCTGCATAGTACAGGGAACAAACCCATTATGGAGGCTTTGCGATGTCTCATTTAGGGGCTCTAATCTGCCCTTTTCAGCTTTTGAAGTGGCCAAATATAGGAGACCAGAAAGTGACTGTTCTGTCTTTCACGCTTCTATATCTTTACTGTATTTTGTGTATGTTTGATATTTATTTACCAAAATCACTTCCCCTCCTCCTTTTGATTTCTTCCCCCTTAAGTGGCGAGTAAGAAAAGAAGCTATGATGGGTCTTGCCCAGCTATACAAGAAGTACTGTCTTCATGCCGAGGCTGGAAAAGATGCTGCAGAGAAAGTGAGCTGGATAAAGGATAAACTTTTGCACATATATTATCAAAATAGCATTGATGACAAGTGAGTCAACCTAAACCTTCCTACTTTTAAGTGTATAGTGATAAGAAATATTCTAAAAATGTGCTTATCCTATAAAAGCTGTTATGTTCTGTATGTGTGGGTTTATGTATGATGTGTTTAATTAATGATCATTAACAGATGTACTTGCATTATCTGTTCATGGATTCATTTTATTTACTGATGGAACTAGATCTGTGACGTAGTAGATTTTTATTAACTAACTACTGCATAGAAAAAAATTGTCAAATTTGGTGTTTACTCTGCCCAGTTCTTGTTCGCCTTACTGCTTTCCAGAGGCCAGCATGTTAAAATCCATGATCTGTGAGTATCTTGCATGTACACACCAGAGTACATGCACAGACCTCTCCTTTTGGTATGGTATGCTGTGTAGAAAATGGACCTTTAGATAGAACAAAAGCTGAAGAAATATCGGGGTGCTTCCACTCTTAGCTTGTCTTCCTTGTTTTGTCATCAGTCCCTTTAACTTCTGAAGTACCATTTTGGTGTTGGAAAAGGTATTTTGCCCAAGGTTTTGGAAGATAGTTTTCAACTCTCACTATTAATTGTGTGTCATGAGGAGAGCCACACAGTGAGATCACATCGAGGTAGAATTTCAACCTAGATTTTTAATGTGGCAGTCTGGAAAATTCCTTATAGAGTTTCTTAGGACCTTGCTTATACAGTCTGCTACCTCAGTATGTCTTGTTATCTTGGTGACTAGTCTGAATGGGCTAATAGCCTCTGTCAGTAGCCAGTTATGATAGTGAATTTTTAACCACTGCAGTGGTGAAGGCTCTTGCTTTGTTCTTCTGGCTGATCATAACTGGGCCGGAATTATATCTTTGATTAGTTGCCACTTTTTTTTTTTTAAAGATTATTAGATTGCACATACAGAAATTACAGTGATAGTCTTCTGAGATAGAAGTATCAAATAATGAAAAATTAGGAAATCTTCACATAGTTTATACAAAGCTAATTTAGCATGTGTATGTGCATAAAAATACACTTTAATTTGCAGTGAGAGGTTTGTCTTTTTTCTAGTGTCTCACTGTCACTACACAGGTTTGAGAGCAAGAAGAGAATGAATTGAATTGTATAGTGAATAGGGCAGATGTTTTCAGTATTCCTGTTTGCAGAAAATGTGGAACACTGATGGAAATAAGGCAAGGAATTTAAAGGAAACAGTGTCTCACCAAAGCTGAGTTACTTTCTCTGACATGATTTCTTCTGAAAGTCTGATTAAGCTATTGAAACTAGTCTTTTCATGAGTAGGCATGGATTGTAGGCTGGTTTTTTTCTGAGTATCCACACTGAGAGATTGGTGGCTTGATTTTCAATGTTCCTATAGTTCAGTTTAGTACCCTGAATTTTTAATTCAAATTTTACTGTTTTTTAAGGCTGACATTTAAGTTCTAGCTCTGTCACGTCATTGGATTGGTTTCTCTGTCTCAGTGGAGAAACAAATGCATTTTAGTGTTAATATTGTCAGAATTGTAAAGTTTTAGCACCTAAAAGAGCTGTAGAAATGCTGTGATATTGTAAGACAGTCTATCCAACTCTTTAAACACATAAGAACACAGGTCAAAATTATCCAACTCTGACCTATTTTCCGTCCATAATGAGGTAAGAGGATAAAAAGTAGCAGTAACAGCTCTCTGAGCCTTGGAGTATGTTCCACTGGGTGCATGGGATAACACTAGGTCTTTCAAAAGACAGTAGCTTAGTATCACACAGAGTTCAGACATGAAGTGGAATAGAACAAATTTTTTCCACATTGCTAACTCAGTCACTTGATAATGTTTTTGTTGTTGCTTGAATATTGACATACATGTCTACTCAAGAGTGAGAACTTCTAACCATGGAGGTGTTTATCACCTGTGCTCTGAGCTGCTTTGTTTTACAATCAATGCATAGGGAATGGAGTAAAATAACCTCATCTGAAACAGTGCCCTGTTACCCACTCTTGATGTGCTTGCCAGCGACTTTCCTCACAGGGGAAAAGTGTGTCTTGGAGTTATTCCTGATTTGTAAATCTTGACCCTAACCAACAGGAACCAGGGACAGGATGATACAGTCTCTCCATTTGTACTGACAGCTTTTCTGGAACGTGTTTCTACAGAGACATGGGCTAGAGCCATGTTCATAAATTGGGAAGAATTCTGATGCCTCCAGTATCCTAGTGTTAAGCAGGTGGAATCCCCTGAGATCTGAAGATCTTGTTCCCCAAACAATTTAGTTCTTGGAGTCATCAGTAGTAAAATGTACATTTAAAGAGGGAAAGCCAAGTTTTCTGTAATACTAATGAGGTGTCTTGAGATAATGGTATCCATATTCATGATCATCCTTTATTCCTCTGCCTTGCCATCATGTGTTTTGGAATTTTCTTTGAACAGAAATGAGGTGTGTTTGATCTGTGCTGCCTTCTTATGGTCTTTGTTCAAGGCACTTCCAGAGTACTTACTAGTACTAATGTACTACTGTACTAGTACATAATGGAAAAAGTTTTAAAATTCAAACACACACAATTTTTGTCCATAAACAGCAAATTGTATAGCTGAACGTTGTGCACAGCTCTCATTGCTATGAATTAAATTAATGACTGAATTTTCTTTCATTTGACGGGTCTTTATTTTGTTGTTCAAGGTTGATATTTTATGTAAAACTTTAAATATGTATTTTTTTAAAAAGATAATTGGAGAATGGTTTTGCTGGTTTGGTTTGTTCTCACTTAGTTTTCCTTTTGCTCCTTTAGTTGTATATGTTTTAGTGTTCCTTCATCTCCACTGTTTTAATGCTGATTTTTACCTCGTGTATTAGAATAACAAGTAGTTTCTCAAGTACTACAGTTCTATCTTAACTGTTCCCTTGAAGATACTTCAGATTTTTACTTTTCCTCCCCTTTGAGTTACATTCCTGTATTCTCTCTCCTTTATTTGAGCTTTTTACTGTCTGTATTTCTGCCTTATATATGAGAGTGAACAAAGGGAGATTCTCAGATCCTCAAGAAAAAGGATAGGCTGGATGGTGACAGATAAAGCAATTACTCCCTCTTAAAGGTGAAAGTGAAAGAACATGGAAAAGCTCTTAAGAAGCAGTTCTTGCTAATCTTTCTGTCAGCAGTGGAAGGGATCTTTATAGTTGAGATAAAGGCCACTACCTTTTTGTCTTCTTTCTTTGTTGAAAAAATCTGGTTTCAATGACTTCCACTATTTCTTGCCTTTTCAGCTTGTCTGAAAGGTATCACTGCTTCTGGATATGTACAATTTTTTTCTTCTTTACCTGCAGATTACTGGTAGAGAAAATCTTTGCTCAGTATCTTGTTCCACACAATTTGGAAACGGAAGAGCGAATGAAGTGCTTGTACTATTTGTATGCTAGCTTGGATCCAAATGCTGTCAAGTGAGTATAGTTTGTATTCAGCAAATACTTGCTTTCTCAGGCTTTTCTAACATCTGTGTCATCTTACTTGTATTATCAGGATTTAAATAAAAATATTTAAATAAAATGACTTCTAGATTTGCTCTATATTGGGGACCATGATGAAGATATCTGTAACTGAATTCTGGTTGATAGTGGCCTGTTTTTTATTTGGGTGGTTGTAAGAGATACTATGGCCATCCTGGGTCTATGAAATTGTTCCAAAAAAAGTATAAGAGAGATGATGTTCTGTAAAAAGAAAAAATGAGTTCAACCTTGTTTTGCAAAGTTATTTTTAATAGCTGTTAGGTTTTCACTGTAGCTAGCAGGTGTTGCATTTGTAGGATAAATGAATAATCAGAATACATTGGTAAGCTTTACTTTTCTGGTTTTGCATTTTTGCAGAGCACTGAATGAGATGTGGAAGTGCCAGAACATGCTAAGGAGTCATGTACGAGAACTGCTAGACTTGCATAAGCAGCCCACTGTACGGTTCTGAAAATACTTACACTTTATCCAGTGGGCCCATTAGACTAATTTACTGGGGAGTTTTAATATTCTATTATTTGTTCAGTGTGACTTCATTATTCTGCTGCTTTCCATATGTAGACAATGTTCTGTTTTCATTAGGTAAAGTTGCTTGTAGTAATTCTTAAATGGATATGACCTTACGTTGATCATTCTTTTATAGTATTGCTCGGTAATTCTGGAAGAAGTTTTTAAAAGCTTATTCGCTTTTGACAGACCTTTTTTCTTTCTCATGTTCTAGTGTATATTGAGAATGGAATATGTTGTAACACAAAGCAATGATTCCTTGTTGGCTAGAAAACACAAGTTTTTAAGTATTTCTACTGGAATTTTACTTACAAGCATATCTTCGGACTAGTAGAAACTTTAAATAAAAGGGCATTGCTTTGGGATTTTGGTGTGTGAGTGGGCTTGGGGGAATTGTTTCTTTGGCGGTCTTGGGGTCTCTTTCTTTTATCTGTTCTGTGAATTAGTGAATTTTTGCAGTTCTTTGATATTGCAAGATGATTTTCCTGCTAACGATAGTGTTGCACTATTCTAGTGTCTATTCTTAAAACAAAAGCATAAACCATAAGATTCAGTAATGCTGCAGAACAACTAACAGATCGGCTTAAAGATGTATTTTATAAAGGAGATATTGCTGATTTGTTTGTTTATTTTTGCTGTTGTCCTCAGTCAGAAGCAAACAGTGCTGCCATGTTTGGAAAGCTGATGACCATAGCAAGTAAGTGTTAATAACTTCTATAAACTGTTACTACAGCATTACTGGAAACTGTATTTATGTGAATCTTGGCATGCTAAAGTGGAAAATTTATCTTAAATTGTTTTTAATCATACAGAAAACCTTCCAGATCCTGGAAAAGCACAAGATTTTGTGAAGAAATTCAATCAGGTTTTGGGTGATGATGAGAAACTTCGGTCCCAGCTTGAACTGTTAATAAGCCCTACATGTTCTTGCAAACAGGCAGATGTCTGTGTGGTAAGGAAATGGAAAAGCAAACTTTTATGCCTTAAGTATCTGTGCTTAAAACAGTTATTTGGAAGTAATGGTCTCTTTTGCTACCTAGACATGGTTTTCTTATAGTTCCAATTTTTATAAAATGCCTTTATAGTTAACAGGGAGTGATTATGGAAAAGATAGTTTATGATCATCATCTTGCTTCCTAAGAAAATGTTAGCTTTAATCCTTCCTGGGATTGTGAGCAGCAAGCATAAAGTCTAAAAGATTAATTTATTTCATTAAAATATTTTATTTCAAGTGTCTCTTTTGTGGTAGGGTTCCTGTCTTCTCACACTGATGCAACTTCTGAGTACCAACAAGTCAAATATTACACCCTTCACATATTATTGTTTTTCATCCTAGAACACTGTTTTGAGATAAATCTTTGTCATCTTATTTAACTTCTTGATGAAAATACCCATCTTAATATTAAATTGGACTTTTCCAGAATCTGCCAAGAATCGCAGATTAATTTTTTTTTGTATGATCCCAAAGTAAAGTAAGCAATTTCATTGACAGAAACCACAAAGATCATCTGTAAACAAGCATAGGCTTATTGGGTTTTGTCTAATGGCTTGGAAATTGTGTGGGGAAGGGAGCAGGTTGACCTTCAGAATTACGTCCTAAACACTTGATGTAGAGAGTGTGTTTCCTTCTAGACTAGTGAATTTTGTACTTTGCAAATGCAGCATTGCAATTTCAAGAGAAAGGCTTCTTCCTCCTCCCTGAAGTTAACAGAGCATAACAGAACGTAACAGCAAAAGAGTTTGTAGGTCTGCAGCATCCAACCCTTTAAGAAAAGGAAGGTCAAGAAGTCATTTCTTTGAGAGATTTTTTTAGACTTTTGTTCTAAACAAAAGCTGAGTCTGCAGCTGAACTTAATGCACTTGAAATTTGTACATTCAGAAGGGAAAACAGATTTTTGGATCCAGAACATTCATAGGCAAGTACATACCATTTGAGATCTGTTGTAGGCAGGGTAGTGTAGTGCTTCTGCACATCTGCAGTCATGTAGCTTTTAGTGCAATTTTTTTCATTATTATGAAGTCTCATATATGTACTGCAGGGTTACCCACAGTTCTGGATTACACTTGACAACCTAGTTATTTACATCTTGTGTAGTGCACTTAGCTCTTCCTTGATTCTGTTTTGGATCTGACCTGCATTTCCGTATGAACCCCTGAAGAACTCTTAACTTGAAACCAATTTAAATAGTTTGGTAAAAGATGTCTGCTTTCAATATTAATATGATAGAAGAAAGATTTGGAGATAACAACAGCCCCCCTTAAAATATGTTTCACTGATTATATAGACAATCTCTGTGGCAAAAAGAAGTGACTATATATAGCTTCTTCAACATGCCTAAGAAGTGAAATGAGTGTAATTCTTGTTTGTATCTAACATTCTTATAGAGAGAGATAGCCCGGAAACTTGCAAATCCTAAGCAGCCAACAAATCCTTTTCTGGAAATGGTCAAATTTCTTTTGGAAAGAATTGCCCCTGTACATATTGACTCAGAAGCCATTAGGTAAGTTTGAAAGACCATGAATGATTGACTCATGAATGATCATAGACATGATGGAAATGACAGAAAAAAAACAAAACAAAAAAGAATTCCTTGGGATTTAGATTGGTCTGTCCTAGCACTAAATATGTACTTTTTGTAAAAGATTATGTAGAGTATTAATTTCCAGCAACTTAGGGGATGCAACTGTTTTTGGTGCTGTCTGCAAATTATTTTAAAAGTATAGGAGTTCACGATGAATGTTCACGTAATAAACTGCAACACAGTCTTCCATGTAGCATCTGAATTAATTAGCTTTCGTAGGATTGTGTAAGAGAATGTTTTGATTTCTTTTGAGAGTTCACTGACAACCTAATTACATTCTGAAACTACTGCAACTATGTGTTGATCTAATACCGCCAGCATGGTGAGGATTTTTTTGTTGGATTTTTGTTGTTGTTTTTCCCTGAAGAATTATATTTGCAGAAAGTGAAATCAGAAGGAAAAGGAATAATGGAATAACTTAAATGAAAATAACAAAAATCAAACAGCAACATCAACATCAGCCCCAAAGTTCTATTGCCTTCCCTTTATTTATTGTCAAAACCAAGTAATCTTGCTTGTATCTCCAACCTTCAACATTGTCATACTTATAAGTTTGTTTTCTTTTTGTATCTGTTATTTCAGTGCACTAGTAAAACTAATGAATAAATCCATAGAGGGGACAGCTGATGATGAAGAGGAGGGTGTAAGTCCTGATACTGCTATCCGTGCAGGACTTGAACTTCTCAAGGTAAGCTACGTTAATGCAGCTGTAGTTTGTAATGGAAGGGACAAAGGTGGTATGACTAACAAGCTAATGTTAGCATGCCTTTAATAGTTATTACTTAGATATTTACTTTTTTAATGTATGAAACTGTTTTGTTATTAATTCTCTCTTGTAAAAAGAATAATTAAAGAGATGGTTTGTTGGAAGAAGTACGTTTTGAGAGTTGAAATGTGCATGTTAAAGCAGAAATTGTTTTCTGCTTAGGGAAGTCATATAGAAGGTGGAGCAGAGGTAAAGTGAGAGGAAAAGAAACAGGATAAACTGGGAGAGACATCTTCTTTGGGGCCTGTATGGTACTGGAAGGGAAAGCAAGCAATTAGCTCAAGAGCCAAGTCATGTGGAGAAAAAAGGGAATTTGTGTTCTCAGTGGTGCTGTGAAGTGGCAGGGGGAGAAGGAAGGATGTCTGGCAAACATCTGTGATGGATTTGGATGGTCACTAATGAGACTATTTTGAATATGCTACGAAGGGGAGTATAAAATATAGGAAGGAATGGAGGGCAGGGTTACATAATTAAAGTGTGATATTTCAGAAGTGTGAATGAACAAGGTGGAGTTTTATGGAGTTGTATCACACCAAATTTGGTAATGGCAACCTTGGTAGGAATAGTAATACAGAGGTATGCAAAGAAGTAATGTCTGTCTGCTAATGTAGCTCAGAAAAGAAATCTGCCAAAGTTGAAGATTTTTTTTTTTTTTGCTGTGTTGTGGAGAACGTTATTTCGCACGCTAATAATCACTCAAGTGGGCAACTCTGATCAAAGAAACCAAGCTAAGATATATCCAAAGAATTCACAATATACATGCAACTTTTCATTGTTCTCTCTACCTTGTGTTACCTTCTGTTATCTTCCTTATGTTCTCCCTACCTTATGTTATCTTATGTTATACTTAATATGGTTCTGCTTTGGGATAACCTTCTGTTATCTCTTATCCTGCCTTGACTTTCTGTATGTTTAGTTTCTTGCTTGGTGTTTCTCCTGTTTAACAGATTGTGTTATATTTCATTAGCTTTAGATTAAAAGGACAGTAGCCTGTGTTTTGTTTTATCTATGTTTTCTAGACATCTTAACCTTCTAGGTTTTTTTTCTGCTCAGGGATTATAGATTCTGGAGAAATCAAAATTTCAGTTCAGTGAAACTAAGTGAAAAGAAGCATTCTTAAGTAGATTGAAATACAAACAAATATGTTGAATAAGTATTCATTTTAAGAAGTATGTTTATATATTCAAATAATGTAGTGTCCTATAAAATATTTGGAGGAGGGGAGGACCTGAAGAACAAAACATATATGAATTTATTTGAAAATTTATATATAACCTTCTCCAAAATGCAACTGTTGAGTGTAGTAATTTCATATGAGCATGTAACAGCTATGTATGTTGATGGTAATGCTCATAAACAGCCATAATTTTGTTTTTCTGATGTTTCATTTACCATGAATAAATATACCTTTGTTTTATTGTGTATCTACAGGTTCTGTCCTTTACACATCCTACCTCGTTCCACTCTGCAGAGACCTATGAGTCTCTGCTACAGTGCCTCAGGATGGAAGATGATAAGGTAGCTGAGGCAGCCATACAGATTTTCAGAAACACGGGTCATAAAATAGAAACAGACTTGCCACAGATAAGATCGTGAGTATTCCTTTGCATTCTGCTTTTTAATGTGCATTTATTTACAGCATGAAAACTGTAGATTAGGCATTGAAACTTATTTTAACTCTAGGTTTTACTCAATTCTTTACTATTTTGGTTCTTACTTAATCCAATTTATGGAATCTTAGCAGATTTGAGAAGAGATGTTCTCCTACTTGAGGATACTGTTAGTACATTTCTGGTGATCTTTTGTCTGGATTTGGATCTTGTGTGGGTTTAGAGGAAGATGCTTGAGTTTCGGTTCTTTGAACCCTGCAAGCTGCTCTTTTGCCTCTTGTTGCTGATTTAGATTATGTAGAACGTGTCAGTGAATACTGGGTACTAAATAATCCATGTACTGAATGCTGTATTGCTACAGAGCTTTTCAAGAAAGCTAGGAAATTTTTTTTCTTAGTTGTTCTGTGTCAGACTCTTTCTGGGCAATTTTGTTCTCTCGTGTCAGTTGCTGGGTGAATTGCGTGGCAAACGTCACCAGTTAGTGTCTCAGCTGATGCCCTCGCAGGGGCCAGGCCTGCCTGCCAGCACTGTCTGGGCTGTGAAACTGAACACCTGACCAACCTGGACCTGGGCTCTGAAGTGGCTTCTGCCCTGCTCCTTGCTTCAGTGGCCTCTGATCAGCAGATAGATTTCAGGGGATTCAAATTCCAAAGCTCCTAATAAAGCAGTTGTTTACTTGGGTATACATTGCAATTAAAGACCAAAGTTACAATAGTAAAGGGGCCCCTGGTGGTCTAGTGGTTAGGGTGCTGCACTCTCACCGCTGCGACCCGGGTTCGATTCCCAGCCCCCTGGGCAGATGGAGCTTGTCAGCCCTGTGAGGCAATCCATCTAAGAGAAGGTCACTCTAAACAAACCTACGTTCTGAGGACCTCGTTGCCACCGTCCGAGCTTCACTCGGCCCCGGCAGATGAACCTCAGGATTAAAGGGTGGGCTCAGTTCAGCGCACGCTGGGTCTCACCTAAAAAATCCACTGCGCAGGCTCGAAGGGTTAATGACCTTTCCCAAATCTTCGCTTGCGAAGACTGGCCATTATTATTATTACAATAGTAAAGGCCTTGTAAACACTGCTGTTTAATGATTATTCCTAGCTTTCATAGATTTTCTTCAGCCCTGTCACTTCCAGGTTTGGAAAACAAGTCCAGGAATTTACCCTAGCTGAACCAGTCGGGTTCTACCCACCTTATATTTGGCTTCCTAAATGACTTTATTTTGATCATTATTCTCTTTCATGTGTGATCTTTTTTTTTTCCTGTGGGCTGTTTTCTACTTGTGTGTGCACAGTCAGATGTTCAACAAGTATTACTAAATACAATTCTGTCCTGCTTTTTACTTTATGGTTGTGATCTTTCCTGAACAGACTTCAAAAGAATGCTTGATTTTTAAGACAGTGAGGATAGATTTGTATATGTGAAGATAGTTATTTTTTTGTAGATTGCAAATTGCATTTTGAAGTATTCTGTTTAATGTTTACAGAACACTAATTCCGATTTTGCATCAGAAAGCAAAAAGGGGCACTCCCCATCAGGCAAAACAAGCTGTTCACTGTATACATGCCATATTTTCAAATAAAGAAGTGCAGCTTGCACAGATCTTTGAGGTATGTCTTTTTTGGTTTTAAGATTTGCTTCTATTCTTAACTGATTAAGAATTAACATCAATTAACATTAATTCCTACTGTGTATTAACAGTTTATGAGGTCAGGAAACCTACAAATGTATGGTAGTCAAGATAAGTCATTAATTTTACGGTAGCATGTTACTAATGTTTGTCTTAAAGTCACGATTTTGTACTATTCTGATATCTGATAGATAAGGTATTCCTTTTTGTCTACATGGGATAAGTTTGGGGTGAATAAGCTAAATATGTTGGAATGATCCACAGTAAATCCCGTGGGGACACATTTAGCAGATACTAAAATAAGAGATAACATCCTCTGCTTTCCAGCTGTTTTAAATTATTGCACTTTAAGGTCTTTGCACATACAGCCTTTCCTCACTGAGGAGGTTAGTGCAGAACAACTTGACTGTAAGCTCAGACACCAGCTTACTGCTCACTTACTGGTTGCTTAGACAAGTTGTTAAGCAAAAAGTTGTCTTATACAGAGCAGAGACATTATTACTTCTCACTGGAGTCTCTTAAATAATAACATTATTAAAACTTGTAAAATATCTTAGGTTCTTAATCTTGGCTGTTTTTGAGCCTACGTATAATTTAGAAGTGTGAAAAGCTTTGAATCAAGCTCTCAGAGTTTGATCTCTACTTAGACTTCTGTGAGAGTGCTTGTTCCCTCCCATTGTACCAGAGTACAATGCAGTGGTGTGGGGTGATAGAGCAGCATGGAATTGTCCTGGTGACTGTTACCTGGAAGGGAAATACTGATGGCTAAAAGAAACGTCCCTGGTGATTTCCAAGCTTTTGGGTGCTGTTTTCTACCATTGGCAGTTCCAATTTAGGTTTTCACAGCTCCTGAACAGAATTCAGTCAAGAGTTTTTTCCCATGTCTCTCAGGTCTGAATATGTTTCACGATTAAAACAGGAAGAGAATAGAGCATTTGTTTTGCCCTTAACTCATGTGAGATTTTTGGTTATTCTGTTGATTAGAAAATTGTATTCTTTCTCCATTTTGATTTGCTAACATTATTAATTCTTATGGAAAAACAATGAAACTCATCAACGCTCCAGCAGTAAAATAAATGATTTTTAGACGTGCTAGCTTACTTATCTGAAGTTGATTTTTAAGGGTTTTTTTTTGCTTCCTCAGCCTCTTAGTAGAAGTTTGAATGCTGATGTACCAGAACAACTTATAACTCCCTTGGTCTCTTTGGGTCATATTTCTATGTTGGCTCCAGACCAGTTTGCTTCTCCAATGAAATCTGTTGTTGCAAATTTCATTGTGAAAGATCTCCTAATGAATGACAGGGTAAGATTTTCTTTTTTTGGTAAGTGCTTACTATGCTGTTTGCCTGTTACTAACTCTGTGGGGAATAGAGCTTTTCTGTTAAATGAGTCAATAAAGTAAAATTCTATAAGTGGCTAATACAGTGATAATTGTGTTATAAAAGATAGTTTTGTGAAAGAAAGCCTAGTCCGTGACTTTTTTCCGTTTTTCCTTTTGCATTTTCTGTATGAGTTGAACCAGTTCGTAAACTTACATGAATGTCTATAGTCAACAGGTGAGAAAAATGGAAAATTGTGGTCTCCAGATGAAGAAGTCTCTCCAGAAGTACTAGCAAAGGTGAGTGTTCTGCTGTCAGTAATAATGTGTATATCTGTGATTAAAAATTTACTTTTTTTTCAAGTTGTGCAGTGGGGAATATTAGGATAAATCCCTTTGAGTACTTTTGTATTAGTCTCATTAGTATGCATTGGTTTTGTGGATTGTACACACAGTTATAGAACGGAGAGAAACTATGCATTTTGTTGTCTTCACTTACTGATATTAACTATGCTGATTGGTGATAAAATCAGGAGATTCAAAGTTTTAGTTTTCCATACAAGAAAGGTAATTTGACTTTACTGACTTATAAACAGATTTGAAATAAATCAAGACCCTGATGAATGTGACTCTAATTATGGCCATTTCTAGAAATGTTTATCTAGTTGCTCTTATTTTTAATCATGTAGCAATTATCCTGCATCCTCTAAATGCACTTATGTGAAGACACTGAACCATAATTGAAATGTCCTGAGGTCACAAAGACTGCCTCTTCCTTCTTCACTCTGTAAATATTTACTGCTTCATTCTGTTCCTTTAAAAATGTATCAGCTATAATAAATGGGAGTATATGGAAATTTCAGTTTGCCAGCAGTAGGTTTTAGTGCCTCATCGACTTTGGGAAGTAAGTTGATTGTTCATATGTTTGTGTTCGTTAGGTGCAAGCAATTAAACTTTTGGTACGCTGGTTGTTGGGTATGAAAAACAACCAGTCGAAATCCGCAAATTCCACACTCCGGTTATTATCAGCTATGCTCGTCAGTGAAGGAGACTTGACAGAACAGAAGCGAATCAGGTCAGACTTTGTTCCTTTCAGACTTCCATAAATTTTGTTGCAGAATTTCAAAGAATATTGGTTCTTTTAGAGTGCTTTTGGAGTGTTAAGGTCAGCACAGTTTTGCCTGACGGGATGATAGAAAATAGATCTGATTAGAGTTTTAATATTAGGAGTGGAATGGCAGTATAAAATTATGCTTAATACTCCTTCTTTCTTGTAGTTTACTAACAAGCAATTCAGAACTCTGTAGGTATCTTGATAGTAAAGCACATTATAGAGAGTAAAAGACCTGCAGGAGTATCTTTGAAAACAATTGAGTGATGAGATTTAACATGCTTGGGAGTTGGTGATCTTGGGTGGAGCTTCTTCATTCTATGAGGTAACTGCACCTCAACTTCATTTTGAGGGTGAAGGAAGGGCAGAGAATCTGTGGCAAAATTGTTGCTTTCATTTAGATGGTGATAGGAAAACAAGAAACTCAACTGCTATCATTTCACTGTTGTACTGAAATCAGGGGTTTTTTTGTGGGAAAGTAGAGCACCTTACTTTCACAAGTTTGGTTGGGTTAATTTAGCTTGATCTGAAGCTATAGAACTCTGACCTCACCTGACAGAGAAAAGCCTTGCTTGCTCATTGGTCTTGTAAAATGATGAAATTGTGACATGCAGGTAATTTGAGGGTAGTTGTGGTGAGTTGTGGTTTGGTTTTTTCTCTCTTGTGTTCGTATAGTAAATCGGATATGTCTCGACTACGATTAGCTGCTGGTAGTGCAATAATGAAACTTGCACAGGAACCCTGTTACCATGAAATAATTACCCCAGAACAGTTCCAGCTCTGTGCACTTGTCATTAATGTAAGTAACTACATTTGAATTGAAGTGACTAATTAATTGAGTTCAGAGTCCTTACACCTGAGCTTTTGTTGCTGCTACACTAAGTATATTCTATTCCTCACTGCAGCTTTCACAAGTTATTCAAGTTTTAATTTCAAATATTTGTTGTGCTGTACCTGTTGGTATTTTTAAAATGCCTCCTAATAATTCTACCTTGAATGCCTTTTTTTTTTATTTTATTAAGACTAAGATTTTGATGGTTGTGCTTTTATGTTTTGTGTTTGTAGGATGAGTGCTACCAAGTGAGGCAGATATTTGCCCAGAAATTGCATAAGGCACTTGTGAAATTACTGCTCCCTTTGGAATATATGGCAATCTTTGCTTTGTGTGCCAAAGACCCTGTGAAGGAGAGAAGAGCACATGCCAGGCAGTGCTTGCTCAAAAACATCAGTATACGAAGAGAGTATATTAAGCAGAATCCTATGGCTAATGGTTAGTATTTCAGTAAAATTGTTAAGAATACAATAGTCAAATACTGAACTGGAAGGAGTAATTTTTAAATCGTAAGCAATTGGCTTTTGTAAAGAAACACTGAATAAGTTTGTTTCCTCATCTTTATATTAGACATATTTAAATCTGAATTTACTTAGTTTGGTATTAGCATAAACCATAAGATACTTCTTTTTACATTGCTGAGAATTATATATGTAAAATATAGTGCTGTTATAACTGTAGTTGTTTTGCTCAAAAAATAAAATTTTGTTTCCTGATATTTTTAGGCTTTATGACCATCTTCCTGAAGCAAAACCAAGTAGTTTCGTAGTGGCAAAACTTGTTAATTTATTTTTAATGATGCATTAAAAGTAAAATTTGTAGGAAGAAAATGCAAGTCAAAATTTTACAATCTGTGTTTGAAAAAGTGTTACTTTGAAGAAGTTTTTCTTATGATGCGTGTGTTTGTGTGTAATACAGAGGCAACTTTTTGTTGTTTTGTTGTTGTTGTTACTGTAGAAAAATTACTGTCCTTGCTGCCTGAATACGTGGTACCGTATATGATTCACTTACTGGCACATGATCCAGATTTCACAAAACCTCAGGATGTTGATCAGCTTCGTGATGTCAAAGAGTAAGTGTCAAGTGATTCTAGAACTGTTATGCTGAGAATTTTTCTCTGCTTAGAAAAAACTGATTAGAAAGAGGAAATATTTGTTTTACTGTTTTGCAAGATACTGCTGATAATCTTGGAAATGTGGAACACTTTAACCAAGGGAAGAAGGCTTTAACAACTGCTTAGCAATATATTCTGAAAGCCTAAATGTTAACCTGTAGGTTGTACTGTAATATACCAAATTAGTGAGTTGTCTAGGCTTTTTTAAAGTAAGCAATTATGTTAGAGTCTTGGTTTTGTGCCTAGGAATATCTGTAGGACTTCCCAACACACTTAAAAGATGTCAAGTAATGTCAGTTCAAATATTTTGGAACTTACAGAACAGAAAGCTTCTCCAAGACTTAAAAACACAATGCCACTGATGCTGGGTGAGAGTCCTGCCTCACTGAAAATTTTTTTTCCCTCTTCCTATGCAAACCTACTAGGACTCATTCTAAGTTTGCTGCTGACATTTCATTTGTACTATACATCAGCAGTGCAGGCTTAGTGCTTCTTGATGTATTCAGCAGAGATTATGGCACACAATCCTGTCACAGAAGCTTGTTTTGTGCTAGTTCCCATTTCAGACCTTCTTGTATGCCTCAAATAATATTTCATATCTTAATTATAACTTCTGTGTTCCTTATGTCTTGTAATGAACTTTAAAACATAGCTACATTTTAACACTTTTAAAAATTGTTAAAGCATGTTTTATCTCTCCACCTGCACAGCTTTGAGTTTTGGTCTTTTCTTGTTTTCATTTTTGGTGGAACTGAACTCTGTTGTTGCTGTATTAGAAAGGCATGTATGACCACATACTACAGTATACATCATCCGAAAAGCAGTTCATTTTTGGCACAAATAGACCACTTCACATCTTAAATTCTTTTTGCACCTTCAGCTGTGGCAGTCCAAGTCTGATTCTTTCTCTAAATGAAAGACTTGGTTTGTTTGGATTTCTGAGTTCCTTGATTCACACCTGGTCAGACCTGAAGTCAGTGAAGACTTTTTAGCTGATCAACAAGTCTACATTTTGTTCCAGGACTCCATGTTCCTGGTGACATCTGAAAGCATCCTGTAGCATGTACTTTATCCAAAATGCATGGGAACAAGTTCTGATTTACAGTCACAGAGTTAATACTTTCTTTGAGAAGTGTTTTTTCAGTGCGCAGAATTTTTTTGGACAGTCATTGTATAGCTTTCCTTTGTTGTCAGATTTCCTCCCTTAAGTTTGTCACAGACTGGCTGAACTAGCCAGAAAGGACTGCTCCAAACAAAGAAATACTCTGTATGGGAATTTTGGCAGGAATACTTCTCTGAAGAGTCTTCTGAGATATATGAGAAAAATGTTTCCCATTTAATGTGATACAGTGTTTTCTTTCAACAGTTCTGAGAGTCCTAGTGTTCACTTTTAAAGTGTTAATGGAGATGCTTACAAACTTGGAAAAGACTTGACAATGTCTTTTGTAGTTGTCTCCCTAGTTCATCTTGGTTTACATGGCCTAAATACAGTCATGTAAAGTAAATACATGCTTAGCAAGTTCCTTAGCCATAATCTGTGCAACTTACTGTTATGAAGTTTTTAAAGCTTGTCCTACAGAGGTGTGTTTGGGTTTGGTTTTTTTTTTAAATCTTGAGACCATGTGTTTTTCTCCCTAATTCATATTCCAAAATTACTGAAATGAATACGAAGAACGACTTGACTTTATGTGACTGTTACTCTAGGTGCATATTTTTTTCTACATAAAATCCTAGTGTTGTTTTGGACAGGTCTTGTTCAGAGTTGATAATTATTTATTTCATTTGCTGTCTTAGTGAGAAAGTCAAGTGAGTTGACATGAGTTAACTGGTAGAGTATAGTTTGTTCTCAGTAGTAATTTTTAGGTGACATTGGACTTAGAGAACAGGGATAAATGTGCTATGTTACCAGTTCTGTATTCATCCTGTTCAAGTTCTTGAGAATAGGGAATAGATGGGTGTAAATCTGTCTAACAGGTTGATTTACTGTCATCTTTGTAGCTCTTGGATGCAAATCAGAATACAGATGTCTTTTTTTTTTTTTAACACCACATAACTCTTTAAGTGTTTTGATGGAGCACAGCCCTCTGAGTTTTTGAGAGAAATGTACCTTCATCCCTTTCATTACAGTTTGTATCAATTAAGAAGATTTGGGCTTTTTTGGACAGGGAATTCTAATGGTCAGTCATCCTGTTTTTCTAGTTTTTTATTAGCCTATTTCTACAAGATAATCTCTCTTCCAAAGCTTTAGAATTTAATTAGCTACTGACAAAGCCTGCATTTCTTGGAACCACCCATATGTATTTCCCAACTAAGAATTATTTTAACATATTGTGACTGTTGACCTTTTAGCCACATGCAGCTGTGGAGCTTGATAGCAAATGATAGTGTGGATGGACCAGTTGTGCTTTATATCATAATTGAAAATATTTTAAAATAAACTTTTAGTCAAAGTATAATGTATTCTCACCATAAATAAACCAGATTTAAAGAAAGAAACCTGATGAAAGCTAATTTCATTATATTTGTCTGGGAGAATTTACCTCCCATATGGAAAATTAACAACAATCTGACCTGCTCAGTTTTTGGGACTCCTCTTCGGTTTGAATTGCAGTATTAAACCATCTGAGGCAGGCAGCTGTCTAGCAATAGTATGATTTGTAGGAGCCTGTTTTGAGTGTGATCATGGTACATGGTTGATAGGGACACAGTGCCTAAAGTAGTGATTATAGAATTTCATTTGGATGATGGTAGCACCAGAATTCTTGTTTCTATTCATGTATGGAAGAGAAAATGTTGATTAGTTGGGCAGTTTTTACAGATGTAATAATAAGGATATTAATTTGGTGGCAGGTTTACTCCAAGGAGTATGATGAAGATCGTGTGTGTTAAAGGTCTAGATGCTGTTTACACCTTTGGATGATGTTATCTGTTTATATCTTCAAATTGATTGTGGTTTCTTAAGAAAAAGCTAGTACTGCTGACAAAATTTTTTAAGACTTCACTGTATGTAGGAGCTGCAGTATAAAACCTGGAATGTAATTCCTTGTGTACTTATGACACTTTAGGTGCCTGTGGTTCATGCTTGAAGTTTTAATGACAAAGAATGAAAACAATAGCCATGCCTTCATGAAAAAGATGTCAGAAAACATCAAGCTTACCCGAGATGCTCAGTCTCCTGATGAGCCAAAGGCCAATGAAGTAAGAAATGCAATTCACATTAGTGCTGGGTGATGAGCTGAGGGTTTCACAAGCAGTTGATGAGCAGGATTTGCAGGAAATCTGAGAGCACTAGCTCAGACATTTTTATGGTCTTTTAGAGAGACTGTTAATTGGAAGCATTGTCTGTATGTTTTCAATCTCATTTTTTCAGGACCTTGCTGACCTTATCCAGTACATAACATGTAATAATAAACAATTTAAAAAAAATATTCTGTTACTACCTGCCTTATTTTAACTCCTACTGTCTAGGTCCCTGCATACATATCTTCTGCTGTTGGGGGAGGAAATACTGTATTATACAGCTGCTGTTAAACCGGTTAGTTTCTAGAAGAGATGAGAAACCACTTATGGTGATTCAATTGTAGAGCATAGGGATGTAAAGTATTACTAGTTTTTATAAACAGTGTCATAAGAAAAATTAGGACTTCTCTATGTGTTTTCGGAGCCAATTGTGTGGTTAATGATGTGATTACAAAATACGTCATTAGTGGTGGTTATTTAAACACATAGTTTAAACTTTTTAAAGAACTGTATTCTCTGTACACTGTAAAAATAGTAATTCCTAAAGCATGCTTTTCTTTTTTTTTCCCCTTCAGAAACTTTACACAGTATGTGATGTAGCACTATGTGTAATCAACAGCAAAAGTGCTTTGTGTAATGCAGATTCACCGAAGGACCCTGTATTGCCAACCAAATTTTTTACACAACCTGAAAAGGTAAATTCATTAGTTTAATTTCTGAAGTAATAAGGGGAAGTACATTGATTTTTATAATTGAGAGCTGATTATCTCCATAACATACTGAGTGAGAAAATACATCTTTTATCATCAACAATTAATTTTTTAACATCAGCTGTATGTTATGCTATCTGTTTATTAAGAACGTGAGGCAGAAATGGTGAGAACTGATTGAAATAAATACTGATATGTTAGCACATATTGCTGAATCATTTAATTAATGTGTTTTACAAGTGCATCTGAATATGTGAGCATATATGTATATTCTGAATGTATATCTGAATTGGAATGCAAATCAGACAAAAAAGGGAATTTTTTTTAATGTTATCTGTGGTGTGTTTCTATCTGTCGGTAGCTTGTCAGTTTGGCCGTTTTGCTTGCTGTATAAGTCAGTCCTCTTATTGCCTAGTAATAGTCTTGGCAAGTGCAACTCTGCTGTCAGCAATGGCACTACTGCTCTCCAAGAGGCACACTTCTGAAAAGTAGAAGTGGAACCCAAGTAATTCTCTGGATCAGACCTGATTTTTTCGTTGTCCAGGAGAATATACTTGCTGACATTTTTCAGTGCCTTAGATTTTTTAACAGCCTTTCCAGAGTCTGTTTAAGCTGAATCTGGTTGCCTGTTTAATTATGAAATGGCAGGTGCCATGTAACAGTGAGTGGTGTCTCTGCTAGCTGCCTTCATTAAGATTCAGGGGTTGGTCTGTGTAAACTGTACTCAGGGTGACAAAGGTAAAAACTTTCAACTTGTTTGGAGAAAACAGAACCTGTTTTCAGACTTCCCGTTAAAAACATGCAAGTGAACAGATAGGACAGTTTTGCATCATGTCAAACGATTCATGTTCACTGAAGAAGGAAAAATGTTAATCCTAACTTCAGGTATGACATATTGTCATTCAGTAATGCTCACTACAAATCTCCTCCAAAGTACTAGTTTGACCTGTCTTTAGTAGATGGATTCGTTTGTCAGCAGGTTGCATGGTGTGAAATATCTTTAACACTTGACAGTAGCTTGTAATTTGATAAGTCAGTTGGGTGTATATAAAAAAACAACAGCAAAATTGAGACATCAAATACAAACTGATTTTTCCTTTTATACAGGATTTCTGCAATGACAGGAATTACATTTCAGAAGAGACAAGGGTTCTTCTTTTGACAGGAAAGGTACTGTATTTTGTCAAGTTACAAGTCTTTGAATATTACTTGTGATTTCTAAAGTGTTCTGGACTGCCATAGTTTAAAAACTATATTAAGAATTTGTGTACAGTAATTTTTGATTTTTTTATTTGATGACATAATTAATGCCTTGAGCATACTACCTGGTGAGCACACAACACCAAGATTCTTAACTGTGCACTGAGACACCGGTTCTTGATTACAATTTTTTCCATTATTGACATAAGTGTGGCCTAAAGTTATGATGCCTATACAGAATTGTGATACCAGCACTAGAGGTCTTAAATTTTCAATCGTAATATTTTTAATATAGCTATTAATGCTGTTAAATTCATCTGCAAATGTCTATAATCTTTTGAACATCTTATTTTATTTCAAGGAGTCCCTTCCAACTGGAGATATTCTATGAATCTAACATCCTATATTTGCATAGCACCTCTGGGAGAGGCTTTCCAAAATGTAATGCAGAATTAGGTTCAATACAACAGTAGGAAATATCATAGAATCGTTAAGGTTGAAAAAGACCTCCAAGATCAAGTCCAGCCTTTGACCAAACACTGCCCATATCAACTAAACCATAGCACTAAGTATTTCTTGAATACTTCCAGTGATGGTGACTCCACCATCTCCCTGGGCAGTCCATTCCAATGTTTGACAACTCTTTCAGTGAAAAAATTCTTCCTGATGTCCAGCCTGAACCTCCCCTGGTGCAGCTTCAGGCCATTTCCTCTCATCCTGTCGGTCGTTGCCTGGGAGAAGAGAGTGACCCCCACCTGGCTACAGCCTCCTTTCAGGCAGTTGTACAGAGCTATCAGGTCTTCCTTGAGCCTTCTTTTCTCCAGGATAAACAACCCCACCTCCCTCAGCTGCTCCTCATAGGACTGGTGCTCCAGGTCCTTCACTAGCTTTGTTGCCCTTCTCTGGACTCACTCAGCACCTCAGTGTCCTTCTTGTAGTGAGGGGCCCACAACTGCACATGGCACTTGAGGTGGGGCCTCACCAGCGCCAAGTATAGAGGGACAATCACTTCCCTTTTCCTGCTGGCCACACTATTTCTGATACAGGCCAGGATGCCCTGAGCCTTCTTGACCACCTGGGCACACTGCTGGCTCATGTTCAGCAGCTGTCAGCCAGCACCTCCAGGTCCTTTCACACTGGGCCACTTTCCAGCCACTCTTCCTCCTGCCTGTCCCAGCACCTGGCCTTGTTGAACTTCATGCCATTGGCCTCAGCCCATTGATCCAGCCTGTCGAGATCCCTCTGCAGTGCCTTCCTACCCTCCAGCTGATCAACACTCCCACCCAACCTGGTGTCTTCTGCAAACTGACTAGGGATATTTGATCCCCTTGTCCAGATCATCAGTAGAGGTATTAAATAGGACTGGCCCCAAAGAGGGCCCTGGGGAACCCCACTAGTGACCAACCACTGCTGGATGTCACACCATTCACCAGGCTCCCTGGGCCTGGTCATCCAGCCAGTAAAGAGTGCACCTGTCCAGGCCATAGCTGCCAGGTTCTCCAGGAGAATGCTTTGGGAGACAATACCCAAGGCTTTACTGTAGTCCAGGCAGACAACATCCCCAGCCTTTTCCTCATCCACTAGGCAGGTCACCTGATCGTAAAAGGAAATCAGGTTGGTCAAGCAGGACCTGCCTTTCCTAAACCCACACTGGCTGGGCCTGATACCCTGGTTGTCCTGTACATACCATGTGATCATGCTCAGGATAATCCATCCCATAACCTTCCTGGCCACCAAGGTCAGGCTGACAGGCCTGCAGTTCTCCCAGATCCTCCTTCCAACCCTTCTTGTAGATGGATGTCACACTGGCTAACCTCTAGTCATCTGGGACCTCCCCTGTTAACAGGACTGATGATAAATGATGGAGAGTGGCTTGGCAAGCAATTCTGTCAGCTCCCTCAGTACTCTCAGGTGAATCCCATCCAGCCCCATAGACGTGAGCATCTAAGTGGCACACCAGGTCACTAACTAGTTCCTCCTGGGTTGCAGGGGATCTATTCTGCTCCTCGTCCCTGTCTACTAGCTCAGGGGCTGGGTAGCCTGACTATATCTGATCTTTCTGTTAAAGGCAGAGACAAAGAAGATATTAAGTACCTCAGCCTTTTCCTCATCCTTGGTGATGGTGTTCCCTTCCATGTCCAATAAAGCATGGAGGTTTTCCTTGGCCCTCCTTTTGTTCTTAATGTATTTGTAAAAACACTTTTTATTATCTTTCATGGCAGTGGCCAGATTGAGTTCTAACCTAACTATTACATTTACATATTTGTGATATATTTAAATATTGTATTTATATAGTTATATGCAGAAAGCTGCTGTAGAAGTAAACACTATCTATTTGGGGTTCTCTGATACAGTGGTGGTGGTTTAGATCTTGCTACGGCTGGTGAATTGACTGATGTGATGAGGCTGAGTAGGCAGCAGTAAGTTTTTTATTTTGTCTCTGGAGAGGAGTTAAGGAAGTTTTCATAACTGGCACGTCACATTCTTCATGTAATTTTACATTTCCTTAGAGACACAAGTTAATAAATTAAGACATTCCCACAAGAAAAAGTCATTCCCATGTGTGGAAGTTATGATGGAGCAGGCAGGAGAAAGAGATTACAGACACTGGAAAACATTTGGCTAACAAAAAAAAGCAACAATCTCTGTAGAAGTGACTTGTTACTGGGTGCAGGTTCAGTAGCTGCACCATTCTAGTGCTAATTCTGCGCAGCATTTACTTAAACATATTACTCCTATAATGCAATAATTTATTTGCTCAGTTTACTGCATGTCCAAAAGAGGACAACAAAATGAGTGAAGGGTCTAGAGCAAGGAGCAGCTGAGGAGAGCACAAGTCTTACAAGGAGCAGCTGAGGAAACCGGGGTTGTTTATCGTTCCCCTCTTTTAACACAGGGCTCTGGGACCACCAGAGCCCATCATCAGTGTTGAAGACAGAGGCAAGGATGGTGTTAAATGTTTCTGCTTTGTCACCCTCTGCTTGTGAGGTGACCAGCCCCATTCAGTAAGGGCACAGTGTTCTCTCTGATCCTCCTTTTGCTGTTAACATATTTGAAAAAGCCCCTTTTGTGTCCTTCACAGTGCTGGCCAACTTGAACTCTAATCAAGCTTTAGCCGTGTGAATTTTCTCCCTGTGGTGGTGAACAGCACCGTAGTGTACAGCATGTTGTCTGTCCTTGCTTCCAAAAGCTGTACACTTTCCTTTTCTGACTAAGTTCCAGAAGAAGATCCCTGCTCAGCCAGGCTGGCCTTCTGCCTCACTTGCCTTGACTTTTTAGACTTTGGAATTGCCTGCTTCTGCACTTTTAAGAGATGGTTCTTAAAAAGTGGCCAGCATTCATGGATCCCAGTACCTTCAAAGGCAGATTCCCAGAAGACCTTAGAGAAGCCCAAAGTCTGCTGTCCCCATATACAGGGCCGAAGTTGGCCATAAGGCCGAGGGCAGTTGATCCAGAAAGATCCTATAATTCCTTGTAGAATTACTCATTGGTGGTGATGTCCTGGCTGGGTGGTTGATAGTAGACTCCCACAATATCCTCTTTGTTTGCTTTTCCCTTCATCCTTACCCAGAGGCTCTCAACTCTATTACCTAACATTTTGGCTGTTGTTGAAAATTCTCCAGCTGCTATCTCTTCAAAGCATGAGAGAAAGTAAGGCAACTGATAAAGTGCTGTTGAATTATGAGAAATAAAAGTAAGATAGACAGTGGGTTTTAAGTAAAGATGAGGTCTGTAGCTTTAAACGGATGGCATTGTGATCAAGAATTTTAATCCAGAAAAAGTATTTTAAAATACTCAAAGTATTTTAAAAATGGAATATTGTCATTTTTAAAGATCTAAACATTTTCTTCCAGCCAAAACCAACTGGTGTATTAGGTACAGTAAACAAACCATTATCTGCAACTGGAAGAAGACCATATATTAGAACTACAGGATCAGAGACTGGAAGCAGTGTAAACTCTGAGCTGAGTGCTTCTGCAGGAAACAGGTCAAGGTAATGGACTTTGAAGTTTCTTTCATCAGCTATTTACTTCCTTTACTTGCAAGTTTTAGGACAGAAGATGATTTGGTTTTAAAAAATATGTTAGTTCTCAATAGGTAAAATCTCCATATTGGTTCAGTTTATGGGGTTGGGGTCTTTTTGTCTTGGGTGGTTATTCTAGAAGACAAAAATTCAGTGCAGTGTTTAGCTGTGTCTTGCTTGTAATTGCATATAATACCACAGAGGAGACACTATACTGCCTGAAATTTTTGGGGGTTAATAATCATTTTTACATCAGAAAAATGTATTAATTGAAGAGAGCAGCCGTAATTAGTACTAAAAAGATTTTGCAACTTGCATATTTTTTATGTATAAATTCTGATTAATCCTGATTGGTTACAAGCAGCTTTTTTGATGAAAACTTTGTAGATTAAATATTCTGATCTATTTAAGATTAAGAATGATTAAAAAGACCTTGCCGAAGCAGAGCAGGATCTCAGTGGAAAGATGCAACATATGGTTGCAATATTCAGTGTCTCTTTTAGTAAGCATTATTTTTATGTGAATCCAGAGTTTCAAAATTTATTGTAAATCTGGAGAAACAATTTACAATTTCAAATTTTAAAATTGTTTCATTTGTTTTGCAATTGGCTACCTGGCTAAGATAAATGGTTAAAGAAAGCAGGGAAAGTCAGCTCTAGTTGCTACAATTCATAAGGTCAAAGGGAAGTGTAACTCCATTCAGAATTTGTTTTGTAAGTGTGCATGATATATATTGTAATAGTCTTGTTTATTTTTTTAACTATTTTGGTTTTAAAGCTATTATATGCTTGTGTAAATTAACTTGAAGTTTTAGCACTGTTGGTGTTCATTCTTCACTACCTTTTCTAGTATCAGCTTTTTCTGTCTGGAAAAAAGAAACACAGCCTCTTTTAGAGCTCTGGTCTTAAGTTTGCACAAAGCAAGGTGGTGTGTCTAATGAGGGATTTGGCTCAATGACTAGTCAATTCCTTTCAAACCTTTCTCATTTCTGGGAAAGAAAATCTAAATGTGGTCTCTGGCAAATTCAGTTCTTTTTAAATTAATTTAGCTGGTTTGTATTGATTCCCCCCCCTTTTTTAAAGTAATTCCAAACATTTTTCTTCTTTTCTGTGTATTTTGGTTTTATTTTGTATTCAATTATGCTTCCAGGGAACAAAGTTCAGATATATCAGAAACCGGGGTCAGTGAAAATGATGAAAATCCTGTGAGGATTATTTCAGTCACACCAGCAAAGACAGAACCTGTGAAAAACAAGGTATGTCTGGGGATTTTATGGACTGTATGTCTGTAGTAAGCTTGGCATTGGGAGTTTATTCAGTACACATCACTGCAGGTGGTCTCTGAGGAACTGGTCATATCCAGTTTCATTTCATGTAGTTCTGTTGGTTTCCTAGCCTGAGAGAAGACCCCTTAGTTTTAAAACTGCTCTTTATTTTATCTAGAGTAATTCCTAGAGCTCATGTGAATGGACTTTGTTCTGTTCTAAAATTCCAAAATATTCCCACCTTTATTCTGTGTTTTCCAGCATAAGTAATAGTAGGGCTGGTATTCAGAGTGAAGGTTCAAATGTGTAGTAGCTTTAACTGAAGATACTGCCAGGAAAATGTCAAGTGGTCCTATGGCATGAGATAAACATCTAACTTTTGGATCTAACTGAAATGTTACTTAAACTTTTTAAAATATTTTTATGCTTCTCCCCCCTTCCATTAGGGAGTGAACAACATGTGTAAATCATCATTTTTTAACCTCTAAACCATACAGTAGAATGAAGTTTAACACAGTTGAGTCCTGCACCTGGGGTAGATTAAGCTCAAGCAGCTGTACAGCACACTGGATCTGCCTGGCTCGAGAGTAGGTTGGCCGGGAAGGACCTGGGGGACCATTTCCCGTGGACAACCAGCACAGTGTGGGTCAGCAGAGTGCCTTGGCAGCAGTGAGGGCAAGCTGGGTCTGGGCTGTGTCAGCAGGAGCATAGCCAGCAGAGTGAGGGATGCTGTTATTCCACCCTATTTGGCATTCAGTAGGCCATACCTGGAATGTTGTGTCTGGAATACTGTATCCTCTCCAGTTTGACATGGATATTGAAAAACTGGAGAGCTTTGCAGGGGGCCACCAAGGTGATAAAGGCTTGGAGATGTTATCGTATTGAAAGGTTGAAAGTGTTGGGTTTGTTCTGCGTACAGAAGAGAAGCCTTGGAGAGGATCAATCAGCCTTTCAGTATCTAAAAGGTATTTATGGAAAAGATGGAAGCATTCTTCTCGAGGCTGCATGCTCACAGAACAAATGGCTACAGCCAGAAGTTGCTTCAGGGGAAATTCTATCTGGACGCAAGTGAAAAAAAAAAATTAAAAAAATCTACATTGTGATAGTGGTATAGGCTGCCCAGAAAAGTGGTGAAATGTCACTGTTCACAGCTTGGCTTGTCAAGGGCCCTGGATAACCCCTGAGGCCCTGCTTGCATCAGAAAATTTGACAAGATGGTTTCCAAAGATCACTTTCAACCTGGATGATTCAGTGATTTAAAATAGATTTTTGTAATAATGTAGGGATACTTAGATGGATTATGCTGTACACATTTTAAGAAGTTAAATATCTGCTCAGTCTCTTTTGATTAGAAGAAATCAGAGTAATAAGCAGGTGGTTTGGATTTATACCATCACATAGAAAAGTTAGGGAAAGTGTATATAAAGTAAATTTTCAAAAATACTTTCCAGGTTCTTGAAGTTGAAATTTCAAAGAGTGGTTATCTGTAAAGTTCTTATGAATAGCAGTTGTAAATGTCTGCTATGAAGCTGCTAGAACAGTAATAAAGATTACAGAGACTGCCTGACTCATTTGAACACTTAAGAAATAATGATAGAATATTAAACAAAAAAAGTCCTTGGTTCAGACACAGTGCTTAGAATAGTGAGTGACGTTAATTGGTTTGTTTGAAATTGCTAAGTCATCCCAGTCATACTTCTTTAGTACCCTTTTTTTACCCCTTCTCCTAACTGTTTTGGAAGTCAATGTTCAAATGAAGGCTTAGCATCCAGTTCCTTCCTCTTTGTTTCCACGTGAATACTGCTCTGTGTAGAGATGTACAGTGCCACCACCCTTTCTGTTTCACATGTACAGATGTGGCTTCATGGTATTTAATCATGTCCATTGCCTTATTCACTGTATGGAGAAAAACGTGCATGTAGGCCATACCTATTCAGGCATGACTGAATTAACAAAGACTGCAAGTTTCATTTATGGTTTGGTCTTACTTCCTTTATCCCCTGTAAGCCTTGAGTTTTTTTTACTGGCACTTAGGACTTTGGTAATCTGCACATTACCGAATGTTGGTCTCAAAATTTGCACATGTTGAAGTAAATATAATTTGCTGTATTGGAATCATTGTTTTTGTTCCTCGGTTCTCTCCTGTCATTTGACAAAGAGGCAGTAAAAGGAGCTTGTCCAGAAGAACCGTCATGGGAGGTGCTGAAATTATTAGTCTTACCGTAATCTCTCTCTCAAGCAACTGAAAGGTTCATTGGGTGCAGATATTACAGATGATTCAGAAAATCATTTTGCAAGAAGAATGTCCAAAATCCCATCTAGTAAAAAACTTCTTATTAGGTCTAAGACCATGTGATGTGTTTTATAAGAACACTTAAGAAAGTTTAAAAAACCTCTTTATTTCTGTTGGAGGGAGGTCACAATTTGAGTTTGCCTTTGGGAATCTTTTTTCCTTCACATTCATGACTTTTATTTTCTAGGAGATTAATTCTGATCAGGCTACACAAGGAAACAGCACTGAACGTGGGAAAAAAAGAACAGCAACAGCATCTGGAACTGAGAATATTCATCAAAAAACAGAAGAAAAAAGTGTAGATGAAACAGGCCCATCGCTAGCAGCAAAAACCAGAAGAGGGCGACCAACCAAACCGGAACCTCAGGGTACCACTGCAAAAAACGAGGAAACAAACAAACCACCTGTCAGGGGAAGGAAGAGAGCAGCAGCCAATCAGGAAAGTCCAGGGAGTTTAGAGGCAGGTAATGCCAAAGCACCAAAACAGCAAGACACAGCGAAAAAGCCAGCGGCAGCACAGAGACAAATTGATCTACAGAGGTAAAAATAAATAAATAATGAAATGCATCGGTGGGGTGGTCCTTTCCTGTCTCAAGACCCTGCATTTGCAATTATAACAAATCTAGAATAGCTGAGGGCACAACTAAACCACAGTGGACACCATGATCCACCATGTGTCATGTTGAGTTCTAACTTTCGAAGTAACTGGGGGAAGGCAGCTGGAATTGGAGAAATGAATTTGTTTAATCGGAACAAGATAAACTTACCTGTTTTCACCAGTTTGGGTTTTTTGTCTGTTGCCTCCTGATTCCCCTTACTAGCATTGCTGTGTAAAAGAACAAAGAGCTAAAGATTTTTCAGTGCATTCATTAATGCCAGGTACACAGGCATTCAGGTACTCTGCTCTGCTTCATTGATAGCAAAGACTTGATAAATTACTATCTTGAATGAACAGAAAAAGATTGTAATTCTAACTGTAACTATTTTTTGGTCTTTTGGGTCTGTGCTTGTTTAATATTAACAGGATTTTAATATCTATTTTAAGTAAATCAAAATTTGAAACTGCATAAACTACAAAACAGCTCTTGGATGATATTTTATTTTTCTATATTCTGGTGTTTAAATGTGTTGATTTGATTTCCAGTGTAAGCAAATTATAAATGTGCATAAACACTGAGAAGTTTGTTTTGCTGGATCTGATACATTAATAACTTCAATGCAAAAGTGGTAGAGCAGTAAGGTCAGCAAAACAGTGTGCTGTAAAAAATCACAAATTAATCTAAAGGAAGAAAGTATAATTGGAATAGTTTCTTTCTGAAGATTTTGTTAAGTCCAAGATCTTGCAGAGAACCTTGATCAAAAATAATTACCTTTTATTCTCAAAGCAAGGTTTATACAGTAGTAAAATGTTCTGTCTGTGAAGAGTGTCATGTTTGTGTACTGCTTTGCAATGCTTGTTTTATACAAGAAATTAAGTCTTCAGAACAAATTGCACTATCCATAGCCTTTAATAAGCCACTTGTATCAGATAGCATCTTTAAAATATGTAATGTCTCAGTGTTTCTTGGACAAAATACCAAAACATTGTTAACGTTTTTCAGAAGCCAGGTGCTTGGAAGTGATGGAGATTCACTGTTGGAGATAGACTCAAGTCCAGAATACTCCCAAAATGCAATGGATCTTTTTAAGGCCTGTGGGAGCAGCCAGGAAGATACTGAGGATACAGAGATAGCGGAGGGAGGCTTCCTTAAGGTGTAGCAGGCATCTTATTTAGGACAATTCTCTGGGTTTTTTATTGTAGCTTATACAGTAAGAAATCAAAGAAATTTGTCATCTAGAAAAAAATGTGTGTAAAAACAGCTGTGTCTGATAGGTTTCTTTGCTTTTAAGTAGAAATATACAAGTTACTATAAATATTTGGAAAACATTTGAAGTAGTGCTTGTTCTGAAATAAGATGGGCTATTTTTATAAACCTGGGTAATTATAGTTAATTAGAACAAGTTACTGTTCTTATTCTCAATTCCAGTGAAAGCATTAGATAACTGTATTTTTGTTTATGCTGAAAAAACATTACTCAGTTGTGGAATTATGAAATGCACAATTCGACTTGTCTGTTTCAGAGTTTATCAGGAAGTTGTGCTGTACAATAACGAAATTCAGCTGTATTCAATTAATTATGTGATTGTGGAGAAGAGATAAGATAGAGTTGGAAGAATCACAGTATAAAGACTGTAAAAGCCAAAATGTAAACAATATTTGGTAGGATTTGATTCTGAATCAATTGTAATTTCAGTGTCCTTACAGTTAACTTGTATTTTCCTTTCTGCCCCCATATAGGTAAAAAGAAAACTTGCTCGAAAAGGGAGGAAATGAAGGCCAAATAAAGGCATGCTCCAAGCTTCTGCAAAACTAGGATTCAGAAATTTCCTGTACAGGAACTGAAATTACTTCAAAACACACAGCTTTCAGCTCTGAAACCAGAAGGAAAACTATGCTTCCCTTTCACATGAAATTAATCCTTCTCAATGGAAATGTAAAGCAGAAACTCTTGAGAAAGAGGCTAAAAGCATCTGTACTTATTTCCCCAGAGACTTTTTTTATGAAAAGTCAATAATTAAGCAAATTGCTTAACACTTGGTTCCAGTTCCTGCATTCTGGAGTTTAAAAGTGTATTTACACCATTAATTTTCATGCTGCATTTTTTTTTAAAGAAAGTCAGAGAAAGTCCTTACACTGACATTGAAAATTCATGATCCTAGAGCCAGGTATTCCCATGTTTCACAGAAAAGGTAGAAGTCTACTGAATGGATTTTAAACAAGACTAGAGTAAAAAAAAATCACAAAAAGTTTTTTTTGCTTTACCTTTGGAGACTGTTTTATGTATAATTCTTTCTGCCTGCCTACTTTTCTGCAAAAATAAGATGTACAGATTTCAGTTCCCTGCTATGAAAAGTCATGTGGTGGCAATTTTATAAATGTTGCTTTCTGATTTTTATCAGAGTGGGAAAGTAATCACTTAAAATTATTATTAATTCGCAAGTAGACATTTCATTTTTTAATTTCCCCCTCCATTTTAGTTTAATATAATTTGCAATAATTGTACATATTGATGTTTGTTTTATAAAAACATATATCACTTTTAAGTGTTTTTACTCCTGCGGTTCTGTTGGAATATTCTAAATTTTAAAGGGGTAAAGACAGTCCAGCATTTGATTTTATAATGTTTGTCACCAGATTTTTATTATTGATGTAAAGAAAAAAAAAATCAATTTTTAAAAATAGTTGGACTTTGGCAGCTTTGTAAGGAAAGTTGGAAATGTTTAGGATTGCTCTCAATTTTAAGCATTGTGCTGATTGGAAGTAAGTCTGTTTTGCATTTTGTCTTCCTGTCCAGGCTCATTTTTTAATGTTTATTTTAGAAGATTGTTGCATCAATATTATGTTTCCTGGCATTGTTCAGCATAGATACAGTGTACACTTTTATGTACACATGATCATATTTAAGTTTGTTGCATAAAATAAACGCTTCTAGGTGTCACATGGCGGTCTTTTTTTAACTTTTTTTTTTTTTCTTTCACAGAAAACAAATTGCTATGTCTGTGCATAGACTTGGACATTCATAGAAATACTGTACGGAGCAAAGAAGTTGTAATGCAGACAGTTACGTAGCTTAAGAGACAAGTTTTTTAGGTAAAGTTACAGTGCTTTATCTTGTGAAGGGGGTTGGTCTGCAGAGTGACAGTGAAGAGTTTGCTTTGTTTCCCAGTGCCTCAGTTCCCCATTTCTCTTCTGCTAATTGTTTTGAAATCCCTGGATTCATTATAGAAGAGCTGGATGCTGGTGACATTAGTTAAGGATTACTTGTCCTCCTAAAATGGGTTGTGTGCTCTTGAACAATGACTAAGTCTTTCTTACCGAGTGTAACAATGTGTGTTATTTTTCCTGTCTAACAGAAAATGAGACTGTGCATAAAGTGGTGTGTGCAGCTCTCCTTCTAAAGCAATCTGTGATGCTTTGACTTGAGGGATTTGAAATGCTTTTTACAGAGGGAGACCAGGAGATTTTAAAAGCATTTAATTATGCATCCATCAGGAGTTTGATTTCTAAAACTGAAATCATTTCACAAGATGGATTTACTGATCATAATGCAGTTTCTTTTTAGGCTCTGGTCAAATACTTCTCTCTCATGAAAGTTACAGCACTTTGATTTAAACTAATTTTAAAATGTTTTAGTTCGAAGTTTTTGGGAAACCTGAAAAAGAAACTTGCTTTTAGAAATGAGTTCTGGTACCTAATGGTGTGCCTCTAACAGTGATTTGAAATCTGGACTTGACAAATCTTGCAAATATTCAGATTTGTTTCCAAAAGCTTTGATTTTTGTGAAGTGGATAATTTTTTGATTTTTTCCTTTTTTTTCGTTTTTGTTTTTTTTTTCTCTTTTTTTCCTTTTTTTTCGTTTTTGTTTGGTTATATAATCAGTTCAAATATCGAGTTACTCAAGGAATCATGATAGAATAATTTAGGTTACAAGGGGTTTCAGAAGGTTCAGTGTCATGCTCAGAGCAGGGTTTGCAGTTGGCTTTCTGCAAATGGAGTCTCTTTCTCCTGTGTTTTTTTAAGTGGACATCTGAGTTACTTCTACATGTTGATTATCAATGGAATCATTTGGTACATTCATGAAGTAAATTATGCTGGGCAAAATGCAGCTTTGAGCCAAAATGCAGCTTACAAAAACTATATTTAATGTCTAGTGGTGATCCACTGGTTTCTTTTCAGAACTTACCCCAGACAAGGTTATGTACAGCATTTCTCTGCCTGCCCCCACTTTTCCCTTGCCAAAGTCCTGAGAGCAGCCGTGGTGCTGTTCAGGGTTGCCTGCTCTGTCAGAGCAGTGTCCCCGGAGGCCAGGGGACACTGAGCAGTCACAGCACATTCATAGAATCACAGAATGTGCTAAGTTGGAAGGGACCCAAAAGGATCATCAAGTCCAACTCTTAGCCCTGCACAGGACCATCCCAAGAGTCACACCATGTGCCTGAGAGTATTGTCCAAACACTTCTTGAACTCTGTCAGGCTTGGGGCTTTGACCACTTCCCTGGAGAGCCTGTTCCAGTGCCCAAACCCCCCTCTGGGGGAAGAACCTTTTTCTAATATCCAACCTAAACCTACCCTGACACAACTTCAGGCCATTCCCCCAGGTCCTGTCACTGGTCACCACAGAGAAGAGATCAGTGCCTGCCCCTCCTCTTCCTCTCACAAGGAAGTTGTAACTGCAATGAGGTCTCCCCTCAGTCTCCTCTTCTCCAGGCTGAACAGAACAAGTGACCTCAGCCGCTCCTCATATGGCTTCCCCTAAAGGCCCTTCACCATCTTTATTGCCCTCCTTTGGACACTCTCTAAGAGTTTCATGTCTTTCTTATATTGTGGTGCCCAAAACTGCACACAATATTCAAGGTGAGGCCTCCGAAGTGCAGTGCAGAGCAGGACAATGCCCTCCCTCGACCAGCTCAGCCTGGATACAGAAAGCACAGACATCATTTTTA